AAGACAGGAAGAGAGAGAGAGTGAGAGAGGCATAGTTAGTCCAGAAAGGCTGTATTCACCATTTTATGGTGAATTTGCACAAAGTAAGCACTCACATGATGGTCAGAAGAAGCAGTATAAGGATACTCTCAAAGTCTCTCTGAAGAACTTCAGTATTAACTATCAGACTGCCCGGCATGGCATGCCCACATCAAAGAAGGTTCTATACTCCATGAGCAAAGCAGAATCATAAAAGCACAAAGGAAACAAGCTGCACAAATCCAGAGGCACCTTCTAATGTACCACCCATGCCTGATCTGTGGTAGTGCCCTTCAAGTTTTTTTTTGGCTAGGCATTGGGGTTAAGTGACTTGCCCAGGGTCACACAGCTAGTAAGTGTTATGTGTCTGAGGCCGGATTTGAACTCAGGTCCTCCTGAATCCAGGGACAGTGATCTATCCACTGTGCCACCTAGCTGCCCCATGCCTTTCAAATTTGTATTAGACTGATCAGTCATAGCCAAACATACATACCCTGACTCCAACACTGTGATGTCGTTGGTCTTTGAAAATGAAAGACGAATAATAAGAAAGGTCAAATCCAGCTTCAGACACTTACTAGCTATGTGACCCTGGGCAAGTCACTTGTTTGAATCTGTTTCCTATATGTAAAATGGGGATAGTAACAGCACTTATAGTTGTTCTGAGTATCAAATGAGATAGCAATTGTAAAGCGCTTTGTATTGTACCTGGCACACAGTAAGTGCTCTATAAATGCTAGCTGATCTATTTACATGATTTATCTTATTTGACTTCAATGATAACAGAGTGGTAGATAATGCAGATATTATTTCTATTTTACAGATGAGAGGCTGAGAGTGACTTTAGTCTCACCACAGTCAGATAATTAAGCTAGTAAATATCATAGATGAGAATTAAACCCAAGTCTCTTTCCATTACAACAAACTGCCTCATCACGAGTGCTTACCATATGCTAGAGCACTGTGATACAAGCTGATAATACAAAGATAACTGAAGTATATTCCACAGAGTATCAGAAGGAATCTCAGAGATCTCTGAACAAGAACCCTTTATACACACAACTAAAAAAAATCAGCCTTTATATGAAGACCTCTAGTAACCCCTGGAGTGTATTGTGGGTAAGGAATATTTAGTGAGACATGGGTTTGGCCTACATGAATTCTGGAGTACTTCCAATTTTTATATTCTATGATTCTGTGACCCCATGACCTCTTGAAGAAACCCATTTCACTTCTAGCTAGCCTTCATTGTTAGTTTTTCCTTATGACAAGTCCAAATCTATCTCTCTGTAGCAAATACATATTACTCTTAGACTGATACAAAAGCAAGATAAGTCTGATTCTTCTTCCACATGAAAGCCTTCTAAATATTTGATGACAGTTATCATATGGTATGAATCAGTCTTTCACCATCCTGGCTGTCCTCTTCTATGTCCTCCAGTTTACTTAATGTCATTCTTTTACTTCTTTGATTCTGACCTCTAGGAATTTATAATCTAGTTGGAGAGATGACACGTACATAAATAAGGGTAATTCAAGTCAGAATGTGACAAAAGCTATAAAGGGAATAAAGTATTAAGAGAATTCAGAGACAGAAGTGGGAAAAATTAAGGAAAATTTCAGGAAACATTTCAGCTGAGTTTCAAGTACAGGTAATATTTCTGCATGCACAAAAGGGAAAATAGAGTATTCCCAAGAGGGAAAAGTTTAAAATGGGACAAAAAGGGGACAGAAGCTTAAGAGTATGTCCTGGAATTAAGAGTAGTACAGTGCAACTGAAGCAGAGGCTATATAAAGGCTGGCGACAGTCAGGGAGGATATTAAATGCCAGGTTATGAAGTTTGAATTGTAATCAGAAGGCAACAGAAATTATTTTTGAGCAGAAAGTTGACAGATCAGAGACATGTATAAAGAGAATTCATCCGGCAGTCACTTACAATACACACTGGAGAAAGTGATACTGGCTAGACACAATGCCCTGAGAGGTAATGAAGCTATGAAGTAGGGTGGGAATGAAAAAGAGGTGACAAATGCCAAACTGACCTCCAGACACGTACTGTTGGGTCATTTTGTCATAACACAGTGTCTCTTTGCTTACTTTAAGAGACGATGCTCTACAAAGTGCTTTTTAAGCATTCTCTCATTTGATTCTCACAAATAGCCACTGGGTAAGTACAGCATATTTGTCACCTCCATTTTACAGAAAATGGAAGTGTTGCTCAAATACCTTTTTGAACCTCAATTTTCTTATCAGTAAAATGAGGAAGTTGGATTAGATAATTTCTAAGGTCCCTTCCAACTCCAATATTTAATGTTTCTAAGATTCTGTGACTTTATCATAGTAGGACTAATACAGGAAAAGGTGACTTACAATTACACATTAACTTATTATGCCATTCAACAAAGTTAATGCTCACATTTCTAATGCTTTAAGGCTTACTAAGTAGCAAACCAAAATGGAGTCTCTTAACTTTTGCCTATCGTATTGGGATTCTTAACCTGCGACTCACACCTCTGTCAACACATTTCAAAGGGTCTATGAATTTGGATGGGAAAAAAAAAATACATTTTTATTTTCACTAACTTTACTAACCTCTAGCTGAAACTAGCATTTCCTTCAATAACAAGACATTACCCTGAAAAGGGTGGCTTCATCAGACTGCCAAAGTTGTCCATGAATCAAAAAAGCTTAAGAACCTCTCCTCTAGCATTAAGTTTTGTTTATTCTGGTCTCATTCACACATTCTTTTAAATCCATATAAAGAACGCCTCATTGTGAATTTTGTTACTACATTTATATTTCATATGGTTAATGTGCCCATGACTAACAATAAATACTCTTTATAAAAAATTAATCAGATAGAGAATTTTATTATTCATGTAGACATACCCATAATAACTTTAATTACTTTTAGCCTTACTTTCTTTGGACCAGCTGTGATCTATAATGATGCTGCTTTTTTCATTGGCATTTCTACTCAAGGGCATTTTCTACAGCTGTATTTGGCAATAACAAGGCAAGGATAGGGACTTCCATGACCTAAAACTGCATGTTCCACTCATGTAAAGTGAAACACAAAACCGTGGACAATATAATCACATTCTCTAAGGCCAGAAAGCTGGAAAAAGACCTAAAGACCTAAAGATTCTTTCTTCTTATCTATTTTCCAACCTGCTGCACTTCTCTGGACTTCTTCAGCATGGCCCAGCACTGGGTACCTTCCCTCCTTCATCCTACTCCCTTTTCAGCTTCCTTTTGTGTTACCTTCCCCCAAGAGATTTTAAGATCCTTGAGAGCAGAGACAGTCTTTTGCCTTTCTTCGTAGCCCAAGTGCTTAGCATAGTGCCTGACACACAATAAGAGCTTGTTTTTATTTGACTGACTAGAAAAAACCCAAACTTTGGTAGAGATTTGGCTACAGCGAAGTGAACATTTGGTACTTGGTCTCCTTACATTTTTGGTACTATAGGTGTTATTTGCTTAGTAATTAATTCCTGGACACAGACTTCAGACAATGCGTCAATGCAAAATAAATGCTCATCCTGTGGAAACAGGATCACTACTAACACTTGGGTAACAAGTATATTTTGGCAAATAGTGCCAAACACTTGGCATGTTTCATGAAGTTGGGGCAGTTTCTTAAATGTAACCATCTCGTCTTCCTCCTTAATGAAGCCGCAGGGGAGTTCTTCTGTACCTCTGCAACCCATTATGTTTAAGGCATCCTGTGCAGCCTTTCAGTGGTTATAAAACCACAATTTTGCTCCATACGGAGCCAATCATAGACCTTAAACGTATGTCAGGCTTATTAATTATATCTCTTCAGGTCCATGAATAAGGACAACAGTCTAACATAGGAAGCAAAGGGCTATACATCTCTATTCTCATAGAAAGTAAATACTCTACAAACACAGTATTACTAACATCCTGGGGTTCTGTAGTTTGCACTCCAGAGCACTGTCTAATACTCCCACATTTGAGGTATATCATATTTGAAAAATTTACATTTGCTTTCCAGAAGCCACCAACACAGATTTATGTACTGTTACTAAAAGTATGCCTACAGTAATAAGAATAAGGAATAATACTTTGTATCTTCTTTGTACCTAAAAATGTTATATATATACTAGACATTTAATAGATATTTATTGAACGGACGGATGAATGAATGAAAACACTGCAATAATGGTCTTTAGACTTCTAAATACTTAAAATAATGAAGAAGAGGACTTAGTTTCTATAGTTAAAATTTTAAAATCTGTACTAATAACTCAAAATGTATGTTATTAAAACATAAATCAACACTAGAAATTAAACTCTGAAAACACACGAATAGCAATACTCTATAACCTGGATTTCATGATTTATGGTATTACATAAGTTCTTAAGATAACAGAAAATTAAGATTCAAAGAGTAAAACCAATGAGGAATATGTGACTACACAATGTAGCTTAGTACTTAGGAAAAAAGGTAAACTTAAGACAATTTTCTTATGGGTAGGGAAAATCTCTTAAATTGTTTTGTTTTTTTTAATTTCCCCTACAAGGTGCACCACATTGCTGAGAACACAGTAGACCCTTGCCACATATTGGTTTACCTAACTTAAATATTCTTAAAAACTCTAATACGAACAGGCAAGGAATTGAATAAATATGTCTATTTATTTAATGGCATGGACATTAAAAATATCTCAGAGATTCTTCTTTCAATTTAATAAGAATGAATTGTCTAAGTAGGTTGAATCAAAATGAAAACTCTTCTATTATCATTTTTTAAATTCATGTATACTTACTAGCTTTCTTCAACTAAAAATTACATTTGGCTTTAAGGCACAATGAAAATATTTTACAGTATGTTTAGAAATTAGAATAATTAAAAACAATGTTAAAAACAGAACAACCAGAACCCTCATCTGAAAGAATGCTTCTTTCTCATAAAGTTTACATGTGAGCCTTAGTTCCATCTATATATTAAACTTACCCTTGTAAGGCTTTATGAATTTGTTTGCACTTCTTTCTCAACACCTGAAAAATATCTAATGAGAAGAAGAAAAAAAAACCCTACGTTATTCTATTTGGGTTATTATACATCTAAAAAGAGCACTCAACAATACCATCTTTTGAGCTTAAATGAAAACTTCTAAAGAAAAGCAGTAAGGACCAAAAAGGCTCTAAACTACTAACTGCAATAATTGAAGTCCTCTCTGCATACAGGGAACAATAACAATTATTGGTGGGTTATTCAAAATAAAGCTCCAAAAGTACATAGGCTATTTGCGTCATCATTAAGTTATACACATTTTGAGCAAAATCTGAAGTTTAAAGGCAGGAATGGTTTTGCTGGACTGAATTGACCTTCTAAGTGAACCTAATAAGAGGGTCAGGAGGGTCAGCAATAAATGTCTAGCCTTGCAAGAACTTATTAACGGACCCTAAAGAAGATGAATCGATCTAAGAAATACATATGAAGGGGCAGCTAGGTGGCGCAGTAGATAGAGCACTGGCCCTGGAATCAGGAGGCCATTACCTAGGCCTTCCTTCCCACCCAAAAAAGAAATATATATGAAGGTAACTTTTATGTTCTGTTTCTAAGGATGCTTGCTTATGGAAAATTTAGCCTTCAGTATTTGATTAGGAAATGTAAAAATCAAGTGATTTTTAACGAACACACACACACACACAAACACACAACTTCTCTATTTCCTTGAATTAAGAGCAACACTGAAATTTTGGGATGAGAAGTGGCAGGTAAGAAACACTTTTTACAACTTGTATATCTTTAATAGCCAAACTATTGTTTCTTAGCTTATTTCCTAGTAAACCATTTATTATTTCATAATTGAAAGGGTTAAAATTTTTATTAAAGCTGGGTAATTTCAGGAAATTGACTCAATGGTAGCAAATAATTTCTAGTAAAAATGAAAAATAAATTCATTCAGTGAAAGTATTAAAAAGTTTATAGAAAAATAATTCTCTGAAATGTGTTTTAAGCATTTGAGGTTTTTAAAAATCGAAAAGCAAAGACACTTTGTCATTTCCTTGGGAATAGAAAAATGCATATAAAAAGCAGAAAAAATTATTTCATTTGGAAGAATTTCATTCAATAAGCCTTGGGAAAATGATAGTAAATTTGTCCTAATATGAAATAAAACCGAAGTTAAAAAAAAAAAAAAGATCCTACAAAATTCAATATATTAGGATTCTAAGATCATGCCCAGGAACTGGTAAGGACACAGATGTATACAAAAATGGGACAAAAGAAACATTTCTTTACAGATGGTTAACTGTCTTGTTTCAAATACTTTTCTGAGAAAAAACCTGGTATGATCTGATCTGGGCTTGGAATGAAACTTTACGTTTCATTGGCACAATGAACTCTGGGGTAAGGAAATTCCCTGAACCAATGCAGGTTAACATCTTCTCTGTAACTTACAGTCTCAGAGAGCTGTCAAAAGTACTGAAAGGTTAAGTGATTTGCCTAGTGTCACGTAGCCAGTAAGTGTCCAGATACTCCTATTTAAAGGTTCTTTCTCCACTATTCTATAAATGAGGTAAAAACATGAAAACACTACCTATTTAGATGAGTCCTATCAATGAAATGCTATGGACTTTCTGGTATGCCAAGAAATTATTATTACCCAGAGGGAGAAGGGGAAAAATGAGAGGGAAAATATCTTATATTTGTTTTTCTCTCTCGTTTTCCTCTCTTCCCTTTCATATCAAGAAGCAGGATCAAGCTACTATACAGGGAAGCAGCTCTAAGAATGTGAGAAAGAAATACTAAAGCAATCCATGAAAAGCAGTTATTATTTAGCAGAGATTTCTTCCTTGGGATGCATTTTAAGCACTTCAGTTTGTGATATAAAATCAAAATTTCAGACAAAAATGTAGGTGACATTTCCTATGCGGAATTCTAAAAGATCAAACTAGGAATTTAATGCCAAAGAACTTTGATCTTTTACTAAAATCTTCCAAAATAAACAAATACCTGGATTCTCTTCCATGATGTTGAGGGCCTCAATAGCAGCTGCAGCTAATAAGGGAGGTAGAGAGGCTGAAAAGCAATACCCTTGACCAGAAAGTCGCTGTGAAGAAATAAAACCAAAAGAAAGAAATTCTTTCACACTACCACTTTATTCTCTCTTAAAACCCAGCCATAATCCCATTGTCCTCTATTCACACTTATCTATTAAGCAATAAGACTTTCTAAATAGCTATGGATTATGCTACACTTGGGGAACCTGAAAGTTAGATACTATTGCTAACCTTAAAGCTGCTAAATTATGCTTTATGAAGGTTTTTGCTATAGTTTCCCAGATAGTACCACAGAATCATATCAGTTGGGAGAGAATTAGGAGGATTCAGCACAACTTACATTAAGCCAGAAACCCTTCTACAGTTTTTTCAACAAGTGGTCGCCCAGAGATACATAAAGACATACAGAGATGTAGAATTACTGATTTTCCAATACCATTCTATTTTTGGACAGTTCCAAATAGTAGAAAGTTTTCCTTTACATCAACCCAAAATCATCCTCTCAATAACTTTTTATCCATTGCCACTAGTTCTGCTCTGAAAGCCCAATCGAAATAAATCTAATCCTTCCTTCCACATGGCAGTCCATTAAATACAGGAAGTTTGATTTTTGTCAAAACCAAAAATTTAATGTAGAGGTCAGAGATCCTACCCAGGAAGCCAAATGGCTACAGAGAATACTTAAGATCCCACTTAGGTCTAGTACTGAGTCCATCCAATGCTTGTGTTTTGGGTTCCCCAAATTTGAAGGTTTATGTTTATATTTCAACCAGCCTAAATTTGATTGTTTATGTTTACTGAAATACATCTCCATGGACCTTGTCTGGGAACTGCCAAAGCAAATACTATAAAATAGTTTAAATGCTACCTGCAATTCCTGCTGGTATTCTTATTTGAAACCTAATGTAATGTAAACCTCAAAGAGATTAAAAAGGAAGTCTTCTTCTGGCTTTCCTTCTCTACCAAATGACCCAATAAAATTTTTTTTTTCTTTTGGCAATGGGGGCTAAGTGACTTGCCCAGGTCACACAGCTAGTGAGTGTTATATGTCTGAGGCCAGATTTGAACTCAGGTCCTCCTGAATCCAGGGCCGGTGCTCTATCTACTGCGCCACCTAGCTGCCCCCCTAGTAAATTTTTACTAAAACTATTTCAGATTTTGGGGAGCTGACATTCATAGAGTGCTTAAAGCTTAACTAATGCTTGAAGACATTATCTCATTCAACACTCACAAAAACCAAAGAAAGTAGATACTACAGCTATTATTATTACCATTTCAGAGATGATGAAACTGAGATTTCTTGAATGACTTATCCATGCTAACAAAGTTAACAGATTGAAAACATGGGATTCAAAACCAATTCCCTTTTAACTTTAAATCCAATACTCTTTCCACTACATACCACATCACCAACTACCCCTACTCTCCTTAGTTTTCTCTTCTCCATGTTAAATGTCCCCAGTTCTTTCAACCAAACCTCATAAAACAGCTTTAAGTTCTTCCCTCCCACACATCTATTCTGGTTATTCCCCTATCAATGCCCTTTCTAAAATGTAGAACTCAAAACTCCACAGAATTGCCTCAGAGCATAAGACTAGTGAGAAACAGATTTGCTGAAATTTAGGGCTAAAAAATCAGTAAGATGTTCAATGCTTAGAGGAAGAGAAAGAATGGAAAATGTCTAAGGTCACAGGAAGGATAACATTTGTTATGAGGTTACTGAATAGGTTGTAGATTAACATTAGTTCAACTTGCTTTGTCAAAGGGCCATCTGGGTAGACCTAAAGTTTTTTTAAATTTGTGAACATCTGAGACTTAAAACTTTATAATCATATGCCCGTTTAGGGAAAAACATTGGGAGGTATGAGGAGTGTTTTAACATTCTCTCTCTCTTTTTTTTTTAGGCAATTGGGGTTAAGTGATTTTCCCAGGGTCACACAGTTAGTAAGTGTCAAGTGTTTGGTCTGCGGCCAGATTTGAAATCAGGTCCTCCTGACTTCAAGACCAGTGCTCTATCCACTGTGCCACCTAGCTGCCCCCCTTTCTCTCTTTTTTAAAGGATTTTTTCATCTCTATTGATTCCTATGGTTATACTAGCATACACATAAAAATATTTCTAAATTTTACTTTAAATCTCTTTTTAAGATTTAATCTTTAAGATTAAGATTTAAAGAACATTTAATATTGAATTCAATTGAGCAGTTATTACAAACCAACTATGTTAGCACTAGAAATAAAAAGAGAAAAGGAAGTTCCTGAAGTTTTCAAGAGCCTTTTAAAGCCTAGTTTTAAATATTTTTTTAATTTACCAAATCTCTGTCCATATGTGGTATCTGTCCAAGATAACCAGATAGAAGTTCTACCTATCTAATATCTATCTAACATATACTGATGTATGTGTTTTATATGTTGTCTATCTAACTCGTGTTATACTACAAATGAAACTCTTTTTTTAAATTATATGGAGAGTTAAGCCAAATTCTTTTGAGTGTTTATAGATTACATCCAAGAAGTCTTTTTTTTTTTATCCAAGAAATGCTGAAACATTCTATGACATGGATCTCTTCCACAATAATGGTGAACACCTTTGGTGAGACTACATCTACTTGCTTTATGACTTGCCTAATATTAATGTTCTTGAAGATGTTATGTTTTTTGAAGAATTTTGCATACCGTATTTCACCACATAATCATTGCAGATTTTATGCAAAAAGTGAGTTGCGACCATTATGTAAAGCTTTTTTTTTTTTAAATTGTGCCGGTATTACTTAAAAATCATTTATTACTAAACTGTCTTTGGTGCAAGATTAGGATGCAAGGAATACTCGTGAATATACGTTAAAATTGAAAAGATGTAAGTCTTACCATACGTGACTTACTCATGGCAGCTTTGCCTCCCTGCCCGCTCCACTGGTGCCTATGATTCTTCACTGGGTTGAGTGACAATACCATTAGTACTGCAGCACTCTAAACAAATCATGCAAGTCTGCTTTCGGAAATATACTGACAATGAGTGTGCACTGAGAATTCTAGACCAGGTGCTCTCAATGCATGAGAGATAAATGGTGAATACATTGCTGCTGTTTACCTTTTATGCCGTGTGACAAACAGAATTATATACCATGTGATTGATTACACAACAAAAGGCTATAAACCAATTTTTGGACTGAAAAAACAGGGTGCGACAATTATGTGGTGAAATATGGTAATTCTGAGGTATGCATGGGAGCTGCCTTTTTGGAGGAGAGCCTTCAAAGTAGCGTTTTGCTCCACTGAATCAAAAGCACTTTTAAAAATAGTTAACAAACAATAAGAATGGTGGTATCTTTTTTCTCTACAACTTTCAATCAATTAGGTGATTATGGAATAACACTTTGCAAAAACCTAACTGTTCCTTACTAATATGCTTATTAAAGATGCTCTCAATAAATGTGTAGACTGTCATAAGAATTTTATTAGCTGGGATTAGCAGTTAATGCTTTCTCAGTTGTCTAGTTGGGGGGGTTATTAATAAAGTTCAAGGGCTTTTCTAGCTGTATGAAAGTTACAGTGGAGTAAAGAAGAGATAAAGTATTAAACTAGGGTAGTGGCTATGAATGAGGAGATAAAATAATAGGTGTAAGAGATATTGTAGAGGTAGAAATGACAAGTTTGGGCAACTAAACGGATACATGAGATAACAGAGAGTGAGGAATCAAGTATCATACTTGTGTAAACTTGGGGAATTGGATGGAATTCAGTACTCTCCACAGAAATACGCAAGTTTGGCAGAGAAGTAGGCATTGGGGAAAATGTGAGTTCAGTTTTGAATGTGTTAAATTTGAAATGCCTATGGAAAATATGGTTGGAAATATCCAATAGGTAATTGGTGATATGGGTGACTGATGTCTTTAATTCATTTGGAAGTATGGTATTCTATGACATGCAACCATTCAGAATTACTAGAAGAATATTGATATTAAAAAGACAGGTCTTTGTTTCAGAGAAATGCTTTCTTAGGAAGTGTCTTACTGGAGGAGAGATGTTAAGGTGATACTTTGCTCAAGTCAATTTTTTATGGTAAAGATAAAAAGTGAAATCTTATATTCTCTGTAACTTTTAGTCAACTGCGTGAATGTAAAGATGTAATATTTTTTGCAAAAACCTCCCTATTCCCTTCTCATACCTTCATCAAGAAGGCCTTCAATCCGGGGTTAGAATATTCTGATAACAATGTGACAGACCTGAAAAAGTAGACCTATGGGGTTTGTACTTACTGATAATTTTTGATTGCCTTTTTTCAAAAGTAATAGTGTCCATGATTTTTCTTCAAGCTTTTGGTATTCTCTTTCCAGATACCCTGAAAACTGATTTCTCAACATCTCGAAATTTTGTTGCCTCCAGCACAAATACTGCATATGCTTTGCCTGGTCTAGCTTTTATCTTTGTTTTACTTAGTTCCATTTCTATATGCTCATGTAGCTAGCACATGTGACGTTGATGTCCTAATTTACTAGCTTCTCGGTCGTTGATGGGGAAAGAATTTTTATGGAAATGTTTTCTATTTTTTAAAATCATTATCTTCCTCCCAATTTTATACTTCAGAATAATCTGGCTTATCTCACCAAGATTTCTATAAAATTTTTTGTTTCCTTTACTGCTTCTTAATATTTTATGATACAGTACTGCTCATAATGTCCATTATTTCTTCTTTGTCAGATTTTATGAATGAATTTATATTCTAGATTACTGTTGCCCTTGATTGCTATCTCACTCTATTTATCCAGGAGACCAACTATTTATTGACTAAAGCAATTTCTAAGGTGTTTTTGGTCTTTTTGGGGTAGAAACTGTTGATGGTCCATGTTAATGTCTGTCCTTACATCATTTTCCATTTTCAGTATCAACTTGCTTTTTTCAACAGGTTACAGTTGAGTGGCCTCAAGTGCATGTCATGTTGTCTTATTTTTTCCAATTTGGTATTTATTTTGACATTTGCTTAATGAGGCAATGGTCTGACTATAGAGACAGCTGAATATAAAATGACTTCCACATAGGTAGGTAGTTATTTCCTAACTATTATGTTGGGATATAAGCTGTAATTATTTTTATATTGGTCTTTTTTGGAAATTTTTATCATAAGCACTGTGATAGAAGATGACCAAGAAGCCTTCCATAAAATAATGTTTATTGTTGACTTTGAACCTATTTAAAAATAATTTTGCCAACTTCTTTATTTGTCTTATAAGACATTGTTTCATTTAGTTGCAACTTCATTTTTTTCTTTTGGTTTCATTTACAACAAAGTTTTCAAAGGTGATATGACTCAGTACTTCCAGCATAAGAGTATTTGTTTCTTACTAGACAAAAGTTGTAAGAGTGCTTACAGTTAAATTAATGTTTAAATGTTGTCTAAAAATTTTGTGATTGTTAGCACTTTCCACCTTCCTTTCCACATCCCTGCCACCATTACAGAAGCAGAAAGGGGCTACAAGAAGTATTCTGTATTTTTCTTTATTTCATGGCCAAAGAATCCATCATTAAATGGCTAGCCAACTGGTGATAAGCCTCTCTGCACTTAGGTAGGCTGGTACTCAAAAAACAAAACATATTTTATAGCTAAGGCCATACTCAAAGTCATTATCACTAAAACTTCTAGAACTTGCAATCTGCATAACCTTCAAGAACCCAGGGTCACCTTAACGTCAAGATGTAGCAGCAGAGTATGACTTTAAATTCTTTCAAATGTAGAAGGTAGTGTGATATAACAGAAAGAATCTGTATTTGGTATCAGAGGACTTGGGTTTAATCCCACCTCTGTCATTTACCTCTAAGGTTTAGTGTTCTCATTTATAAATGAGGAAGGTAGATGATCTCTATAAAATACCTCTCTAAATCTAGAGATTTAGTGATTCTATGGAATTCCTTCTTTCTTCTATTCCTATTGCTTTGATCCTAATCCAGGCATTCTATAACTCATTCCTTAATGCAGTAGAAGATGATTCTGAATTTTTACTACCATTCTTCTCCACCAATTCATTCTTAGCACCATGACTTCAAGAATAACAAAAAATAAGAACTGTGCAGTAAACTCCATTAAGAACTTAAATTTTCAGGCAAACAATGTCAATCATTTAATATTTTCTGAGAAAAATTATTTAGAACACACGAATAAGCATACCTGATGGTCAATTACAAAAGATCTGCCACAGCAAAAGCCTCCAATAGAAGCTAGGGAATTCTCCATGTTAGCACTGATAAGATCAATGTCATCGATCTGTAACAACAGTCAGAGAACATTTCTTTAAAAGAAAAAAAAATAAACCTCAAAAAATGGTCTACATCATTTGCTCAATATTATTAAGACAGATATAAAAAGGAAGAATTTCAGTATTAATCATTTGCATATTTAGACAATACCATTCCAGTAAAAGTAGAGTCCTAAAACCTAGCAATAAATTCCAGGAAAATAACTGTCCAATATTACTAGGACAGATATAAATAAACAACAGAGAATTTCATCAATTGTATTAAATTATACACATAGGCAATAGTATTTAATATTGTTATTTCAAGGAATAATTTAAGTAAAATTAATTTTAAATTAGATTTGAAATATTTGTAACTAAATTTAAAGTTATAAACCATCAAGCACTCTAACTATAACTGAGATTAGTGAGAGCTAATTCACAACAATTCATATTTACATTGTGGGTAGTACAAGTATTTGATAAAATTAAAAAAAAAAACACTCAGTGTCTGCTACAGAGCAAAACATTATCCATTTACAATTTTCTCCTTTTTCTACAGACAAAAAAATTGAGATTTGGCAAGGGTGGGGAGGAGGATTAAAAATTATTTGCCATAGTCACATAGGTAACTGAAGTTAGGAAACAAATCCAGCCTTCTGACTCTGAAGCTAGGCTAGTCCTCTTTCTACTGTGCTGCTTTTCAATGAAAACACTATGGCAATCAAATGATAACATAATTCAAAAGGCACAGATTAGCTAAAAAGGGAAACTGAGACACAAATATATCCAAAAGATACATACTCTGGTGGACAAATTCATGAATTAGATTTGAGTAGGAAAGTAGGCAGAATATAGGAAATATTTGGGTGAGGAACAATGGAGGAAGAAACATATGAGATACTAGTAGAACTATATTATAGCTACTCAACAAAAAAGAAGTACATGATGGAAGCTGACAGGGAAGAAGAATCTGGTGATTCTAGAAGATCACAAAGACAGCAGGGAGGAATGATATGGTAGTGTTAATAAACTTCAACCACCCAAGAATCTTTTTAAGAAAAAAATTTATTTTGGTTTTTAAAGTAGGGCAATTAATAAACTCTTAATTTGTTTACATGATGTCACCCCTGAGAAGTGGAGGAAATCTCCCACTGGTTCCAATTCTTCTTTACAACACAACTAATGTGAAAATATGTTTAATGTGAATGTATATGTAGCGCCTATATCAGATTGTATGCCATCTTGGGGAGGGGTGAGGGGAGAAAATTTAAAACTGAAAATCTTATGGAAGTGAATGTTGAAAACTAAAAAAAAAATTAATTAAAAAAAAAAAAAGAATGAACTGGATGAACCAACAAAGCAAAATGCTATTCTGTAACTGATGCTGACCACTAAGAAACATTTGTTGAAATATAAATATCTGGAACCTTGGATAGAAGTTACCATGCAGTCTTACAATTCTTAATAATCAGAAAAAGCTAGACACTAAGATACAATCTGAATTTTAGCAAAGATTTCAAAGACTAGATAAAAAGAATAGGAAGAAATTAAAAAATCAAATCAACAATCATTTTTTAAGTAACTACTATATACTACACATTGAGGATAGAACATACAAAAGTAAAATGGTATCTGGTCTCAAAAGGAGTTCACATTACACTAGAACAACAGGAAGTGTTCACCTAAATAAATACAATATAAACACAAAACAGATCCATGGTGGGGGACATGCTGGAGGACAGTGAAAGAGGAGCAATGATTGGGAGACAGACCGTGTTGAGGACAAAACCCTGAGCCAAGACATCAATAAATAGATTGTGAAGGAAGCCAGGGATTACTAGAGCATAGCCTTAATCATTACAATTAAAATAGCAGAGGTAGCAGCAGCCAGACTACAAAAAAGACAGCACCATGCAGGGAGTAACCATGTCAGGGTAAAGTATAAAGAAGGGTAAATAAATGCAGAAGAAGAGAACAACTCCACAAATCAAGCAGAGTGTCAGCTAAGATGATTTGGTGACAAGAACTAGTTGAATGGCTAGAAGAAATAAAACAAAGGATTAAAAAAGGAAATTCAAAATGAAATAAGAGTTCTAGAGGAAAAAAATTAGAAGGACAATAAATGGAATGAGAAATACCTTATATAAGTAGCTCTCATAAAAAAAAACGGAGCAGATGAAATTCAGTAAAATCATTAAAAAACAAGAAATATTAGAATAAAGTCAAAATACTAGGAAAAAAACAAATCTAATATCAAAAAATTGGAAAGCCGGTCAAGGAGAGAGACCTGAAGATAAATAAGACTCCCTGAATCTCATAAAAAAAAATCCTTGGATATTATATTTTAAGAAATCAATAAGAGGAAACTGCTTAGATTTATTAGAATCAGAAAATATGGAAAGAAAAAATAGAATATACTAGTCAGCTAAAGGAAACCCCAAATTAAAAATGCCTAGGAGTTGTCATGAACAAAATAGCTTCCAGACTGAAGAAAAAATACAAGAAATCAAAAAGAAAGAGTTCAAGTAACATAAAGATCACAGAAGACCATGCTGCTACTACTCTAAGGTACAGGAGGTTTTAGAATATAGCATTAAAAAGCAGAAGATAAAAGCCTACAACTAGGAATAACAACCTGTAAAACTGAATATAATCCTACAGAGGATAAAAAGGGCCTTTAACAGACTAGTTTATGAAAAGCACAGAGCTGGGGAAAATCTTTATTTGTTTTAATGTTTTATAGATGTCCTTTTCTTTAAGGAAAAAAATACATTTTTTTTTAACTAATCAGAACTTTAAAAAAACTAATCTGTCTGACCATTCTGGAGAACAATTTGGAACTACACCCAAAGGGCTACAAAATTGTGCATCAATATTCCTACTAAGGCTGTATCCCAATGAGATCAACGAAAAAGCAGAATGATCTATATGTATAGTTATAGTAGCTCTTTTTGTGGTGGCAAAGAACTGGAAGTTGAGAGGGTGCTCGTCAATTGGGAAATGGCTTAATAGATTGTGGTATATGATTGTGATGGAATGTGTGTTGTCATTTTTCAGTTGTGTCTGACAACTTTGTGATCCCATTTGGGGTTTTCTTGGCAAATATACTAGAGTGGTTTGCCATTTCCTTCTCCAACTCACTTTACAGATGAGGAAACTAAGGTAAACAGGGTTAAGTGGCTTGCTCAGGATCACATAGCTAGTAAATGTCTGAGGCCATATTTGAACTCAGGAAGACTCATCTTCCTGACTCCAGGACTGGTACTCTCTTCCCTGTACCCCTGCTATGATGGAATAGTATTGTGTTATAAGAAATGACTAAGAATGGTTTCAGAAAAACCTGGGAAGTCTTGAACTGATGCAAACTGAAGTGAGTAGAGCCAGGAAAAATAATTTACAAGGTGATAGCAATATTATAAAAATGATCAACCGTGAAAGTCCTAGCTACTCTGATCAATAATATGATGCATGACAAGTCCAAAGGACTTATGATGAAAAGTGTTATCTACCTCCAGAAAGAGAACTGATGAACTCAGAGTACAGATTGAAGTCTATTATTTTTAATTTTCTTTCTTTTTTTTTTTTTTTGCTACATGGCTAATATGGAAATATGTTTTACATGAGTTCACATATATAATGGGTATCATTGCTTGCATTCTTAACAGTTGGGGGAAGAGCTGAAGGGAGGGAAAGAATATGGAACTCAAAAAAATGTTAAAAATAATTAATAAAATTTAAAAAATTTAATGGCTCTCCCACTAGCCAACACTACCCTCCCACTGAGCAAACAAATTAAAATACAAAACAAAACAAATAAAAGCCATTGATACACAGCTGTAAGAGTTCAAAACAAATCCCCACATAGCCATGTCCAAAAATATATCTTTTTCTGCATTTTAAGTCTATCCTAGGAAAGTATTTCATTTTCTTCATCTGGACTCCTAGTACTGATCAGTTTTAAAATGTTTCAAAGTTGTTTTTCTCTACAATGTTATCATTATATAAATTGTTTCACTTGTTCTGCTCACTGCACAGTATCAGTTCGCAAATATCTTTCCAGTTCCCTCTGAAACTGTCCATTTTTATTATTTCTGATATTCTATTAGTAAAATGCCACATTTTGTTTATTAATTGCCCATTTACCAATTTTTGGCAACCATGAATAGAGAGAGATGTGATCAATATTATCATACACATAGGTCCTTTTTCCTTTTCCTTTTATTTCTTTGGGGTATAGGCTTAGAATTGCTATGCCAAGGCCAAACATATAGGTTTGATAACTTTCTGGGAATAGTTGAAACTTGCTTTCCAAAATGGCCAGATCAAATCACAACTCTACCAAGAGTGTGCCAGTGTACCTATTTTCTCACAGGCCCTCCAACATTTTTTATTTTCCACTTTTGTCTTTGTTGAAAGTCTGATAGATGTAAGGTAGGGCCTCAAAGTTCCTTTAATTTGCATTTTTAATTCACTAGTGATTTAGAACAATTTTCATGGGGTTATTGATAGCTTAGACTTCATCACTTAAAAATTGCTAATCCATATGCCTTGACCATTTATCTAATGGAGAATGACGTAGTCTTAAAAATTTGAATCAGATCCTAATGTAGCTTGGAAATGAGATATTTATCACACAAACTTGTAAAGAGTTTTTTCTCCAGTTATCTGTTTCCCTTCTACTTTTTACTACATTAGGTTTGTGCAAAGATTTAAAATTTTATAATAATCAAAATTGTCTATTTAATTTTGCAGGTTCCTTTCTATTGCTAGCAATGAAATCTTCCCTTACCCATATTTCCAAAAGCCAGTGTCCTTCCTGCTCCTCTAAATTGTTTATGATATGACTTTTTGCATATATAGCTCAATGTATCCAACTTAAAGCTTCTCTTGGTGTATGGCATGAAGTATAGTCCAAACCTAATTTCTTTTCTTTTCTTTTTAATTATTAATTTTTTTTTTTAGCTTAACATTCACTTTTATAAGATTTTGAGTTCTAAATTTCCTCCTTCCCTCCCCCTTTCTCAAGACAGGATGCAATCTGATATAAGCTATACATGTACAATCATATTAAACATATTTCTACATTAGTCATGTTGTGAAAGTATCAGAACAAAAGTGAAAAGCCACAAGAAAGAAAACACAAAATAATAAAAAAAGAGAAAATAGTATGCTTCAATCTGCATTCAGATTCCATAGTTCTCTGGATGTGGATAGCATTTTCCACCACGAGTCTTTTGGAATTGTCTTAGATCACTGCATTGCTGAGAAGACCTAAGTTTATCAAAGTTGGTCGTTGTACAATGTTGCTGTTACTATGTATAATGTTCTCCTGGTTCTGCTCACTTCACTCAGCATTAGTTCATGTAAGTCTTTCTAGACAAACCTAATTTCTAAAAAGTTTTTATCTACTAGTGAGTTCTTCTCCCAGTAACTTAGGTCTTTAACTTTAACTGTTTGTTACTTCATTCCCCCCCTGCTGTACTCCTTTCACTCTCCATCATGTCCCTAGGAACCTCATTATTCTACTCACGTCAGCCTTGGTACCCACACATTTCTGCCCCTTGGGGTCTCTCTGAATGGAGAATGGAGAGCTCCTCCCAGGAGGGGATGTCCATCAATTGGGGAATGGCTACAAAAGTTGTGGTAAATGATTGTGATGGAATGTTACTGTGTTGTGAGAAATAAGGGAAGTGGATGGTTTCAGAAAAACATGGGAAGACTCATACGAACTTATGCAAAGTGAAATGAGCAGAACTAGGAGAACACTGTACACAGTAACAGATCAACAAAATGATTCAGGACGATTCCAACGGACTCATGATGAAAAATGTTATCTACCTCCACAGAGAAAACTGGTCAACTCAGAGGGCAAATTGAAGCATAGTTTCTTTCAATATTTTCCTTGCCATTCTTCCAGGGTGAATGTGGAAATATGTTTTGCACAGTTTCATATGTATAATGGGTAGTGCACTTCTTGCATAAACAGGAGGAGTTGGAGGGAGAGAATTCAGAACTGAAAACAAAAATTTTAAAAAGTGTATGCAGCAAGGTTCTCAGCTGAGAAAGTGGGAGAGAAAGAGCCATGGAAGGTTTGAAAAGGGACGGAAAGGTTTGGAAGAGCTGCTATATAGAATGAGATAGTGAGCTGATAAAGGAGATATAGTAAGATTGCCCTAGTTACAATGAGGGCCCAATTGAAGTTGTGTAACATAAATTTGTAGTGGATTCAGTCAGAACAGATGTGTGATTTTCTCCATCGTGTTCAGCAGCACATGTGGAGGAATGAAGATGTCCAATGGTGGAAAAGATCCAAAGCTGAGACTTGGCTGGGCATAATTGGCAACATGATAAGGAGGGCAGAGATACAAGAGAAAAGAACAGTGTAGAATTGAATTGGTTTACCAAGTGGTGAAGATGGAAAAAGAACAGAGGAGATGACCTGGGAGTTACCACGGAAACCAGAATGCTGGAATGAAACATTACTGTTTTCCTCTACATGAACTGTTCTCATTCCAGCAATATATTTTTATATTGTTGTTGTGGTTCAGTCATTCAGTCATGTCTGATCATACTGTTTATGGGGTTTTCTTGGCAAGGATACTGGAGTGGTTCGTCATTTCTTTCTCCAGTGGACTAAGGCAAACAAGAGGTTAAATGACTTGCTTAGGGTAACACAGCAAGTGTCTGAGGTCACATTCAAACTCGGATCTTCTTGACTCCTGGCCCAGTGCTCTATCCACTGAGCCATCTAGCTGCCCTGGATTGTAGGTGATTTAATTTTCTTCTACTATATTATCCATAAAAGTCAACAGCTTGTTCATTATGCCCCAAATATTCAACTTTTCTGTTACTTGTCTTGAAAGATCCCTTGAAACAGTATTCATTAAAGTATTTAATTTATTTTGGAGATGTTAATTTTCAAAAAAGATTCATATGTAAGCCCCTTGAGGACAGGGGCTACTTTTTTTACCTGCACCCTCAGCATCTAGCAAGTGCCTGGCATATGTTAGGTGCTTAATAAATGACTGTTAATTTGAATATGACTTCTATTTTAACTTGAATTTTCCTTTCCATCACTTCTGTAGCCTTAGTGAATATCATGTAATCCTTTAGTAATTACTATACATATTCACTGTTCTCTAGCTATACTGATTTTATTTTCATATTTCAAAATTGATTACAAGACTTCTGCTTTAAGTGTTAGATACTGTCTCTTCTAGCCATATTAAAAGAGTGCCCCCACCATCAGTGGAGGCCCTCATCACCTCACAGCCTGGAATACTGCTATAACATGTTGGTTGCTCTCCCTGCCTCAAGTTTTTTCCCAGTCCATCCTCCAATCGGTTATCAAAGCAATCTTCTTAAAGGGCAAATCTGACTACGTTACCCCTCAGCTCTTTAAATTCCAGTGGTTTATGACTCATAGATTTTGCTGAACCTCTATTTCCAGCTGTTCTGAAATTCTTTGTGTAAATTCATTTCTATTTTGCTAAGTCTGCTATTGCATGCTTCTGATATTTTTACGAGATTTTCTAATATAGTTTTTGTATTGGTCATTTTCTTACTTTTTTTAACGCATTCTAATTATCACTTGATTTTCTAGTGTGATTTTTAAAAAATTCTGCAAGATTTTATGTAGTCTTTCAGTTTTTAAAATTTTTCTTATAATAGCCAATTATAATTTGATATTTATTATCCCCCAGGATCAAATATACAATTCTCTGATTGACTTGTTTAAGTCCTTCAAAACATAGTCCTTTCCTACCTTTCCAATCTTTTTAAACCTTTCTTCCTTCCATTTACTGTGACCCAATGACACTAGCCTCCTTGCTGTTCCCTGTACATATCTCACATCTCCATGCATTTTCACTGGCTGCTCCATGTGCCTGGAATGTTCTTGTTTTGTAGCCTTCTGGCTTCTCTGACTTCCTTTGGGTCTCACCTAAAATAAGTCTTTTCTAGTCCTCCTCAATTTCAGAGGCCTCTCTCTGAGATAATTTCTAACTCATCCTGTAATATTGTATGATATATAACACAATATGAAATTTTTATATAATATAAACATAGAATTTTTATATGTTGTTTTCCCAATTAGAATGCAAATTCCTTGAGGGCAGGGACTATTTTTTCTTTCTTTGTATCTACTGCCCTTAGAGCCTGGTACATAGTAAGCCTTAATAAAAGCTTGTTGATTTGACTTGAGCATGATGCAAAGGGCATTTAAGAGATGTTTTACTTGACTCTTTCGTTGATAATGCTAACATTTAAACCACTGAAGAGCGTAATCTTGGTTGGGAGCTGCTCTGAAAAAGTGACACTGCCACACATGGAAGAATGGAAACCACAGGAGAAGACTAGATGTCCACAGAGAACAAAAATAGGTGGGTAGCCCCTCCTATCCCAGTTCCAAAAGTGGATGAGCATGCTGATCCAAGGCCACAATCCACTCAAGGCTCAAATTTTTTTTAGAGTTTTTAGACAAAGAGCTGACATGGCACTAGTAGAAAACTGTTCAGTTTGCCCAGGCAAAGTGGGGGTGTGTGTGTGGGGGATAAGTCTAGACTGCTAAAATCAGGATGTTCTCTAAACTGCCCAATAAAGAATAAGAGACCCAGGACACTTAACTCTAACTGTGCCAAGAAGCACCTAGGGAAGGAGACAATGACCAGTTTCCTATACAAGTCAAATCTGCTTTCACCAGCTTCCATTAGCATGGAAGAGAATTCTTTCATTTTCATCATGAAAAATAAAAACATAAAATCTCTAGTTCTTAGGTTCATGCATACCTTTTTTTAAATTAAAGAAGTAACTAGATGGTACAGTGAGAAGACAGAGTGTTGACATCCTAGTTAAGAAGACATAAATTTTAATCCTACTCAGACATTTACTAGTCAAGTAAAACTAAGTTTCTTCATTTGTAAAATGGAGATAATAATAGTTCCTACTTCACAGGACTGTTTTATCTAATGAGGTAACATATGTAAAGCACTTTGCAAAACTTTAAGTGCTATACATAAGTGCTAGGTGTGTTATTATTACTAGGGGTATGACTTTGGGCAATTCACTTTTCAGCCTCAGTTTCCTCATATCTGAAATGAGATTAAGAAAGACAAATCACAACTTATTCTGCTACTGAGAATAAGACATTTAAATGTAGTCTTCAAACTCTGTAGTGAGGAAGTACTGCAGATGGCTAAAAGGTCATAGTAATTATTTGTTTTATAGCAATGTCACAATGAACAAAGCCTTGCATTTTTAAAAATCTCTTAAAGGTTACTTAATTAGAGTAAATGTCTCCCTATAAAAGAGAAATTTTATCCCCCTACTTACAACTTACATTTATCCCAAAATGTTCAGTGACTCCTCGGCCATGTTCTCCTAGAACTCCAAATGAAAGGCTTTCTTCCAAAAAAATTCTTGCTTTGTACTTATATTTTAATTTGACCTAAAAATGTTGTGAATGAATCACATGTTAAAATTAATTTATTTTTGGCAATATATCTAAAACACTTTGAAAAATAAGGGCACTAACTTAAAAGAAAAATATTACTTTACATACTATAAAAGTGTTATAAACTCTGAGATTTAGCTTTTTTGATGAGTTTTGAAAACATCACAGACCAATTTCATTGTTTAACATAAAAATATGAGGAAATAAAACAATAAGATTGCATTAGTATAACTGATTTCTACCTGAACAACATGATGACTATTACTTTTTAAAAACTACACAATATTCATTTCAAGATCTCTATCATTATCTCAAGGAAAGATCTGCATAGAATCAACCAGTAATCAATAGTTACAGGTGATTCCTTTAACAAGCATGTTATACTGCTTTTCATTTGCTTGAAGTTAAGCTTCTTAATCCTTACAAACCCTTGTTCATATTTAAATTTTATCCACACAGCCAGGAAAATCAAAATATGTTTATAAGATATATATTCATAAACATAAGCCTGGGGAACATGAAGTTCATATATTACAAATAGTCCTAAGATAACATACTAATAGTCTGATATAACAGAAAACAAAGGGAGCTGGCTTACCAACTCTGGAAGTGGACAAATAGATCCGGTATTCATATACAATCCTTCTACTACAATAAACCTCCGAGTTACACGTGCCTTACGAGGATTCTTCAAAAAAAAAAAAAGTTATTTAAACAGGTCAAATAAAAGGAAAAGAAAAAGGTAAATACTCCCTAGTATTTAAATATTCAAAGTTCAAAGGAGAACCTGTTATACTCTGTCTTTTAAATAATGCTTCTTAACAATAATGTCTGAAGGTTACAAACTCAGTTAAGCGATCCCCATTAAAGCATAACACCCCCCCCCCCCCCCCCCCCCCCCGGCAAAAACAAAACAAACAAATAAAAACCAAACCACCATAACTACAGGTTTCTGCTATTCAAAGAAAAAACTAAGGAGAAATGCTTTATGGAACCAGCCAAATGAGCCTAATCTACCTTCCTTAAAATCTCCTGACAATTAATATGAAATAGGATCTGCCACAATGGATATTTAGGGAGAGAATAGAGAGATATTCCAAAGACTAGAGTTATAGAGCTTCATACAGCCAGCCATAGTAGAGGGAGAAATAGCAAACATAGGCTAATAGCAAAAAAGGATGCCATTCTTCCCTATTTTTCATTTAGATTTAGTATAATGTTGAAGAAACTAGAGATAAGGATCAGTGAACACTTGTTTGGGCTGCGGTAGTAACAGGGGCATTAAAAACCATTAAGGAGATGAGGTTTTCTTAAAGGGATACTACAGGAGATGTTATTGTTCAGTCGTTCAGTTGTGTCTGACTCTTCATGACTCCATGGACTATACTGTCCATGGGGTTTTCTTGGCAAGCATAATGGAGTGGTTTGTCATTTCCTTCTCCAGGGGATTGCAGAGGTTCTGACTTGCCCAGGGTTGCACAGCTAATAAGGGTCTGAAGTCAGGTTTGAACTCAGGTCTTCCTGACTCCTGGACCAGTGCTCTATTCACTAAGCCACTTAATTTCCTCCAAGAGATAGGAATGAATTAAAAAGAAAAACAAAAATGAAAAACAACAACAACAAAAAAACCACCTTTGAGAACTAATGTTTTAGTGGAGAACACATTTAGTCCAAGGTAGGTTTAAAACCTAGATAAACTTTAATCTACTTTCAAAGAAAGATCAAGCTGAAAATAGTCTCCTCTAAAAGTAATGCAGCTTTTACTTAGGATTCAGAGTTAAAATTTAATTAAAAAAAATTTTAAATAAAAAATATGTAGTAAAACTATGCTTGGCAGGAAAACTAGCTGTAACATCATTAGTAGTATGTATCAAAATAAGAAAGCTAAAAAGTAGAAAGCATTTTTTAAAAAAAATCATGATATTTTTAACCTCTCTGATGTGCCCTTGTATAGGTGCCATGTATTTCAATCAGTCAAAACTCTGATGGGTGTCTATGCTTCTTAGGGCACTAACTTAATACCTTTAATTTACAACAAATTTAGTAAGTAGAGAGGTATACCTCTAAGTGAGTACTGTAAATATTCAGGGTGAAAGACAGATGAAAACTGATGGGTTCTCAAAGACAAATCATTTCCTTTATTTTTATTTATCAATATGGAAGTCTCCAACTTAACACATGAACTTTTATATCCAAGCTATGTGGTAACTGGTAGGTATTTTCTCACTTCAAAATGGTTAGGTACACAAGCCAATCCACAAAAACCTGATAAACCCATCCTATACAATTCCCATGGGCCTCTAACTGAGGTAGACTGGAGGCTCCAGAGACTAGAGGCAGAAGGGACCTTCTGCCATGACCATAAGTCCTGGATGCTTATTAGTAATGCTACTTTTTCAAATGCTTTTTTAATATAGGAATATCAAGCCTATAAAAGCCTCTTTTGAATTCCCATATTTATAATGAACTTTTGTATACCAAACCACAGTTTTTGTAAAACACAAAATAATATACTGTTTTTCTAGAGCACCAAAAAAAAAAAAAAAAAAAGAGAGAGAGAGAGAGAAAGAGAAAGAGAGAGAAAGACACAAACACACCTGCCTATAGTTTTCCTTTGGTTTGTTTCATTTAAAAAAAAATTTTAATATAAAATTTTTCTGAATTAGCTCTCCAATTCATTCCTGATGTAATTATAACAGCAGAATGGCATTTAAAAATCCAACTGGTGTGTCAATATTTAAAAAGCTGTATTAAGTAAAAAATGTTGCTAGTATGTAAATGAAGAAAGAGACCAGTTTTCTTGACAAGTTGCCATACAACAAATACTTCTGTTTCTTAGAAAGTGACAAAAAAAAAAATTTTTTTTCTTCAAAAGAATCATACCTTTTGGTCTTCAATCTCTTGTTCTTTTAGTAGGCACTCCAGGTGAGCTATGTCATTATGCTCAAATACCTTAATGTCACTACGAGATGCTTGTAATCCCTTCTGAATAGCAAAGCAGGCAGCTCTATCTCTAAGAATAATAGAGACCATCCTTTAGATTGCCAGATTCTTAGAAAATAAAAATGAGTTACAGATTTTTTGAAATATGCAAAGCCACTTTAGCTAACTTCAATGACTTGCAAATTAAATGTTTAAAAGCTTAAAATAACGCTAAGACTTTTTGGGACATCCTGTATGTTTACACCTCTGTTTCTAAACACAAACCAAATATAAACTTTTTCATGACTTTTTTCCCATGTGAAAACAATGTATCAAGGCAATTAAGAGAAAATGTTACAGTAATTCCTAAAGAATGCAATGTATCATATATCAAACTATAATGAAGCCCAAAGTGGGAAATGACGTATCCAGAAAGAATAAATGACCTATCAAGGAAAGTAATACTCTCTTATAGTAAAAATATTCTTCAAAAATAAAATTAAAAGATAAAAAACATTTAGTTCACTTTTCTGAAAGATTCGTAATTTGGACAGATTTCAGGCCTATATAAAAAATTGGAGAAGCATAAATATAGTTTTTAAATAACCAAAGCATACAATTTGACAGATACTCAGACTGATAGTTAAGTTTGTAAACATTTAAGGTTTTGAATTTTAAAAGGAACTATAGTTTTCAGTAACAAGCTAAGTATAGGAATTAGAAATGTCAAACACTGATGCTTAGACTTTCACTGATAAAATGTGAGTGAACAATTGGACATACAACTGGTTCTAAAACATTGCTTCCTGGTACGTATTTTTTTTTTTTTTTTTGGCCAGGCAATGGGGAAGCTAGTAAGTTAAGTGTTATGTGTCTGAGGCTGGATTTGAACTCGAGTCCTTCTGACTCCAGGGTTGGTGCTCTATCACTGTGCCACCTAGCTGGCCCTCTCTGCCCCCCTCCCCAGGTATGTATTAAAAAGGAAAAAACACCTAGAATGACAAATACATTTTAGTTTCTTGGAAATGTGTGATAAAAATTATCCAAATGATCCACCATTTAATTACTGCTGCAAATCACCAAATCAACATGCAGAGGTGGTTATCTGTACATTTTATTTATGCTCAGACTGCAGGCTCATCTGTATGAAAAATCAGAGAACCCACAGTATTAGCTTCAACAACCTTATATAGAATGCAAGCAGCACAGAAAAATGGAATTTTACAGAAAGCAGGAGGGGAAGATAAAGGTATGTACATCAGAAGAGGGAAGATAAGGAACCCAGCCAGCTGGTCAGAATGGAGAGCTGTGCTTTTGTTCCCTAATCTTGACTATGAAGTGACTGTGACAGAGGCAGTTTCCTTTTCTTATTATTGTGTCAACAAGAGCGGTGAGCCAGTTTCTTTCCCATCACAATCTCTCTTATCACAAAGGCAACAAAAGGCCTGAGATAGAAATGTAAATCATAAAGAGACTGTGATAACCAAAGAATTATAAAACAAAATTCAAGACCACTTACATTCACATAATTAGTATTATTCATGGCTATAATCTTGAAATAAAATAACACTGTTCAAAAACTTTTTAATATACAGTGTTAAAAGTAAAAACAAGTGCTTTAAAATCTTTATGTAAATGGTCCCTAAAGTATGCATGAAGGAAAAGATTGTTTTTAAAGATTCCTCTATCCAGCCTAACCATATGACATTGTACCTAAAATGCACATCACAGTGCTTCTCCCAATTTTTCCATTTAAGGATGGGGCTCAGGGCCATATCCCACCTGGCTATTCTTCTAGACTTCATTATTATCTCCAGAAATTCACTGTCTCAGAAACTCATTTAGAGATGGCATCACCTCTGAAACTCACATATCCTCAGTAACCCCTGCTCCTGGGGCTCCTCCCTCCTTCTGACTGGAAAAGGTGGAAGGTAGACATCAGAAATCTCTCAGAACCTCTACTTAAGAGGGCATCGAGGGCATCCACTTAGTCATTTCTACCAGACCACAGGACTTTATTATGCCTCCCTCCCATTTCCTTGCTTTTCAGCTTCTTTTTTATGTGTTGTTTTCTCCCATTAGAATGTGAGCTTATTGCCAGAAACTATTCTGTAACTCTGATTGCATGGTCTCATCCTACCCATGGCCTTTACCATGATCATTCTCTTTCCCATTTGCCATAATACTTCTTTTCTGGGTCCATGTATGTAACTCCTTCCTTTCTGGATGTTACCCCTAGCAGCTCTGATTTCCCTTCTCGAGAGGCAGGAGGCACAATGCTCTCCCTGAGCAAGTGGTTCCCCTGTATATCAAACTCCTGAAGCTAATACCCACTACAAGGTTCCCATCATGAAAAACAGATCTCTCCCCCATGGGAATGTTCTTCAGTGGGACTACCCTTCCACTACTGAGGTGAGTTGAGATTTTCCCTTTTCATGCCCCATTTCAATCCCTCTCTTTAACACTTCACCCACTGTCCTGTAGCCCCTCTTTTTAGAGACTACAAGAGTGATTTTCCCTTTGCTGTTTACCATTGACTTTGTTAAGGTATATCACATTTCCCTCTATTTTCTACTTCCTCCCTCCTCTTTCATGCACCTCCCTATTATGCAGTTTAATTATACATAAATTAATTCACCTCTGTGTGTTTAGGGGGCAGGGGATGCTTTAGTTATGCATCTTTCTGGTCACATGACATAGCCCTTGATTTGTTGCAAAACTCTCCTTCCTCAATTTCTTCTCTTACACTCCTTTTCATTGCCTAGTAACTAGCTGAAACCTGGATTACCTCTGAAGACATCACATCCCTTACCAGTCTCAACAATGCTGGCTATTCTTTCTTTTGTACACAAGTTATTTTTATTGAAGAAATAACTCAAGCCACTTATGGAAATTATCTTTAGTCTTTCATTCTGTGATTATCATTTTTACTACCCTATCTGCATGAAGGAAAAAAAAATTGCCAGCATGAAAGTTCAAAGAAAATTTTCAACTTCATCTAACAACTAGGACTATAGACTGGTAAATAATGAATCCTGTGACAAAACAGTATCTTGATTTGCCTTTTGTTTGCCAGCATAAGTCTGTTTAGTTCAAATAACTGCTGTACTTCTTACTGAACAATTCTAAAAAACCATACTCAATTTTGGATTTTGTATAATCAAAATGCTTAGAATTAAATATTTTTTTATTTTGCCTTTTTCAAAGTTTCATAATAAACAAGTCCAAGCACATTTATAATTTTACTTGTATACAAAACATAAGAATCACAGGAAAAACTTAAAATGATAAACTAAAGGTTTAAATCCCATTTGACTTTTAGTATGTGGATCAAATTTAAAGCAGTGAGTGTTATCAAGATATCTCTTTCTCTACATATATACTAAATCTTGATATAAAAAATGAAGATGGTGATGGCAGAAAATTGAACATCACTTTTTAAACATATTGTTAACATACTACTTCCAAATGACACTCGAAAGGACTAATAAGTTTCTTTAATGAAGAAACCATCTGTATCAAAAGAAATTGTTTTATAATGAAATTCTAAGAGACTCAATTTGTTTGCAAAGAAATTTTCCTCCAAACATTAGATGAAGATTACTTACACAAATATAATATCCCCCCTTTTTGAATAAGCTGGAATAGCACTGGCAATTGTGGCAAATCCATATGAGTAAATAATAGCTTCCTCAGTCTTCATAAACTTTGCTAGACGTTCTTCCAATTCCAAATGAACATCTATTTTCAAACAGACAAAAAAGATATAAACAGTTAAAATGTTTTCCTTCATAAAAATACTACTCAAATATTGTTATTAAAGCCATGTAAACAATGGGTAAGCTCTGGAAGATTCTACAATACTGAAAATTATCCCAGTAACAGATTGTATATGTTGTCTGAGGACCAGACTACCTAAGCATGAAGAGAATTATCACCAGTAGGTGGCTATACCATTAGGTGAAGAATTGTTTGGTCATGGCAACCCAGAAAACAAAGAAAAATGCATACAAAATGGCCCTCACTACCTTGGAACCTCCAGAGATACAATGTGTGATGGCACAGGCATACACCTACAACATCTTGTTGCCTATTAAGTTATAAGTCACAAAATAATATCAAGAAGGAAGAAAGGAAGAAAAGGAAAGAAGGAAGCAAAGAAATAGCAGCACTGCTATTTCAAGAAGGAACTTTTCTTACAGAGAATGGGGGCTGGAGTTAGGGCTATGCCCAGATAAAGAAGGGAGAGGAGAAAGGGGAATTCTTTCACTAAACTGCCTTGACCAGATTAGAGTAATGATCAGATTAAAAAGGAGGAAGTCATTTTTGATTACTTCAGTTAATGAAAGTATTTCAATTTCATCTTTGACCAGGTAGAAAGAAGTATCCTTAGAAAACATCAAAGAGTCACACGCTCTCTCCTGAAAATACAATTTAATTAATAAAACTGTTTATGGCAGGATTCAGTACTATTTTTTCAATAATACTATTTTCTTTTACTTTTTCAGTGATGTTATTAGAGTAGTAGAAGAGGGCAAGAGATGTCGAGAACTATACAGATTTTACACCATATATAAACATTAACATAACCATAGGTACATGTAAGAAACATATTTTAAAACATCCTTGAAAATATTAAGAAATAATATTTCTTTGGCCTAAAATCTCTTTGCAGAATTCCCTGTTAGAAGATGAGTTAGGTCTTAGGAAAATAGATTTAACAGTAGTAACTAAAACTTATACCAACTGGCTAAAATGGCAGTCTCCTCTATATCTTTCCTTGAAGGGATTGATGCCTTTCTCCTTAAGGTGACCCACCCAAAAGATGACCCACCCTTTAAGAAAGATCAAGATAGTGATCGCAGAGAGGAATTTACTCCAGGTGAATATTTGAGGGAAGTGTTCCAGGAATAGCAGTAACCACAGTTTTGGAATATTACTCCCAAGATCTATTTTAACATATTGTGATCTTTTCCTTGTTCAAGATTCCTTTAAATTATGCCCTAAATTGCCTTGGGCATATCTGTCAGAGGGCATGGGCAGATTATGCTTAGGTATTAGGTATTATTAAATTAATAATAACTTTCTGGTAGGCTTGTACTTAAAACTCAAAGTAGAGTATTGATCATTTTTCTTCAAAGGTACTTTAAATGTGAGATTCTTGTTCAATAACCAAGTACTAGAGGAACTGAATCATATCATAAGCTTTAATATTCTCACTATAAATGAAACCAAATTAACAGAAAGAGAAGACATCAAAGATGTATGATACTGGAAAGCCCACTTGCTACATTAGTACCCAACCAAAGCCTCAGACACTTACTGTAAGATTCTGAGCAAGTAATTTAACCCTGTTTGCCTCAGTTTCCCACCTGTGAAATGAAGGAAATGGCAAACCACTCAAGTATCTTTGCCAAGAAAACCCCAAATGGTGTCATGAAGAGTCAGGCATGACTGAAATGACTCAGTAACAACAACAACGAAGATCTAGAAGAAGGCCCTCAATTCACAAGAGTGTATGGACAAGATTCATATAGATGAGAAGTCATGGATAGGTTATAATCTGCACTGGTGAAGAGAGTTATCATAGATGCAATGAAAATATTGAAACAAACTACAATTACTTTTTTTTTCTCCTTACCAATAGCATGGTGTAGATGTATGGGAAAGAGTGCTGGATTTGAAGTCAAAGGATCAGGTTTCAAATCCTAGCTCTGATGAGTGAAATAGAGAGTGGAAATAGAGAGTAAAACTATACTGGCGGGGGATCTCAACTTTACCCTCTCAGAACTACATAAATCAAACCATAAAATAAACAAGAAAGATGTTAAGGAGATGAATAGAATTTTATAAAAGTTATATATGATAGGCCTCTGGAGAAAACTAAATGAGGATAGAACGGAATATACCATTTTTTCAGCTACACAAAAACTGATCACGTATTAGGGGATAAAAAACTCACAAAGGCAGAAAGGCAGAAATATTAAATGCATCCTTTTTCAGAACACGATACAATAAAAATTACATTTAATAAAGGGCCATTAAAAGATAGATTAAAAAGTTAATTGGAAATTAAATAATTTAATCTTATAAAATGAGTGGGTCAAACAACAAATCACAGAAACAATCAATAATTTCATGAAAGAGATAGACAACAATGAGACAATATATCAAAATTTATGGGATGCAGCCAAAGCAGTATTTAAGAGGAAAATTGATATCTCTAAATGCTTACATCAGTAAAATGGAGAAAGAGTAGATCAATGAATTGGGCATGCAACTAAAAAAGCTAGAAAAAGAACACATTAAAAATACTCAGTTAAATAGCATGTTGGAAATTCTGAAAATCAAAGGAGAGAGTAATAAAATTGAAAGTAAGAAAGCACTGAACTAATAAATAAAACTAAGAACAGGTTTTTATTAAAAAAAAATAGATAAATCAGTGGTTAATTTGATTAAGAAAAACAAATTGCTAATATTAAAAATGAAAAGGGTGAATTCACCACCAATGAAGAGGAAACTATTACCGAAATGTATGCCAACAAATCTGACAATCTAAGCAAAATGGATGAATATTTACTAAACTATAAATTGCCCAGATTAACAGAAGAGGACACAGAATACTTAAATAACCTCATTTTAGAAAAAGAAATTAACAAGCCATCAATGAACTCCCTAAAAAAAAATCCCCAGGGCTAGATGGATTCACAAGGGAATTCTACCAAACATTTAAAGGACAATTACACTAAATAATATATAAATTATTTGAGAATAAGCACAGAAGAAATCCTACCAAATTCTTTTTACGAGACAAATATGGTGTTGATACCTAAACCAGGAAGAGTCAAAACAGAGATAAAAAAACATTATAGACCTATTTCCCTAATGAATGTTGATCAAAAAATTTTAAATAAAACACTAGCAAGGAGATTACAGCAATATATTACCAGGATCATACAGTATGACGAGGTGGGATTTATATCAGAAATGCAGGGATGGTTCAATATTAGGAAAAGTATCAGCATAACTGACTATATCAATATCAAAACCAACAACAACAACAAAAACCATATGATTATATCAATAGATGCAGAAGAAACTTTTGACAAAACATAGCAACAATTCCTATTTAAAACACTAGAGAGCATAGGAATAAATGGAACTTTCTTTATAATGATAAATGGTTCTATCTTAACCATCAGCAAGCACTATCTGTAAAGTGGATAAGCTAGAAGCCTTACCAGTACAATCAGGGATGAAGCAATGATGCCTATTACCACCACTATGATTCAATATTGTACTAGAAATGCTAGCTATAGCCATAAGAGAAAAAAAGAAATGGAAGGAATTAGAATGGGCAATAAGGAAACAAAACTATCACTCTTTGCAGAAAATATGATGATATACTTAAAGAATCCTAGAGAATCAACTAAAAAACTACTTGAAATAATTAACAACTTTAGCAGAGTTGCAGGATATAAAAAATCAGCATTTCTACATATTACCAACAAAGCCCAGCAGCAGGAGATAGGAAGAGAAATTCCATTTAAAATAAATGTACACAATATGAAATACTTAGAAGTCTACCTGCCAAGCCAAATTCAGGAACTTTATGAACACAATTTCAAATCCCATCTTTGCTACTGCCTGTGTGATTGTAGAAAAGTCATTTAAACTCTGTGAGCTTCATTTTCCTCATCTGTAAAATGAAAGTGTTAGACTAGATGATATCTAAGGATCCTTCCAGCTCAAAAATATGAGATGGGATTACTAGAGACTCTATGATTTAGGCCATTGGATATTGGAGTAATTTGCCATTTGTTTCTCCAGCTCATTTTATAGATGAGGAAACTAAAGCTAACAGGGTTAAGTGACTTGGCCGGGGTTATATAGCTAGTAAGTATCTGAGGCCAGATTTGAACCCAGGAAAATGAGTCTTCCTGACTCCATTCCCAGCACTCTATCTACTGTGCCACATAGCTGCCCACATTAAAAATAGACCTGATTAAAAGAAATACATTATGCTTAAAGGTACCATAGATAATTAATATCAATACTTAAGATACATAATGTATATATTATATCAAAATATATTATATTACATTATGGTATTATATATCACATCATACTTATGATGAAGTAGGTAGCCAGACTCTAGACAATTTATGAGAGAAATGGGGGGTCCTGAGTATAGATGGCTTTCTCAAGGAGAAAAGAACAAAAAAGAAGAGAAATACAGAAAAAAGTTGATGGGGATGGCAGGATCAAGTAAGGAATTTTTAAGGATGGAAGATATGGGTATTTTTATAGGCAGCAGTGAAACAGTAGATAAGAGTAAACTGAAGACAGAGTGGGGGTGAGTGGGGGGAAGATAATAGTGGGGGCAATCTGCTGGTGAAAAAGGGATGCGATGATATCAATAATTTGTGTAGATGGGTTGGCCTTAGCAAGAAAGGCCATCTGACACCTAAGTGAATGAAGCGATTAGCTGGAGAAGATATTTGAAAGATGTAAGATAAAGAAGGGAGAAAGAAAAGATTTTGTTGAATGTATTCAGTGTTTTCAGGAAAGTCAAGGTCCTCAGCTGAGAAGACAGAGAGGTGTGCCATAGGAGGCTTGAGGAGAAAGAAGGTAAGAACAGTCTCTTGAAAGTATGACAGATCAAAACTCTTTCCGATTATATGAAGAGCTAAATTTTAATTCCTGTGGAGCAAAGGCAATAAGAACTTATCAAACACTTA